TCCTAGGCGATTCTCGTATCTATATGCTAGTAATGTAATACTTGGTCAAGCTACCGAACTTCGAGACGACTTTCCGGTTTCCTCGACGGTTTCAGATTGCACCCTACGCATCTGTGATAGTGAACGGAATCTACTGGGCACCCAACTCACCGAAGCTACTGTCCATACCAGACGCCAAGAACCTCTTGCAGCCCAGCAGTCTGCCGTGGCTGCCCGAAGGAGTCGGGACCCCCTCCCTCCCACACAGGTGAGGATCACCTCCCCCCTGCATAAGATTTAAAGATTCAAGATTCAAAGATTCAAGATTCAAAGAAATTTATTTGTGCATAAGACACATAAGGGATCATGCTGTGTTAAACAAATGACAGTCGAGTTCCTATTACACGAATAAAGAATTTCCCATATTATGTATTGCATCAATAGAGAATTCTCCGTACGTATCACATGAATAAGGAATTCCCTATACGTATCACATTAATAAGTACCTTACGTATGTAAATGTGAATTCCTCCCCTCTGCGTCCTTTGCTCTTGTCCCATACAACCCTATACTACGTACGATACAGTGGTGCTGCTGTTTGTCGATGCTAGCCCCCTCTGCTTGTCTCTTCTCTTCCCCAGGCTGCTGGCCATCTGTGATATTTCGGCCGACCCGGGCGGTTCGATCGAATTCATGAACGAGTGCACGACAATCGAGAAGCCATTCTGCCTCTACGATGCCGACGAAAACAAGAGCACAGAGAAGTAGGTGGCGCCACGTGGCTAGGGGCGGGAGTGGGAGTGCAACATGAATTGGGGGTGGGAAGTGGGGATCGAGGCTGCCATGAGGAGTAGTGGTGTGCTGGTGTTGCGTGTATCGTGCGAGTGATTCTCTAATTGTGACATCACCCCTACAACGCACGAATCTGTGCGTGCGTGCGTTTGTACGTTCGTGCGTGCGTTTGTACGTGCGTGCGTGCGTGCGTGTGTTGGTGTGTGTTTGCGTGCGTGTGTCAGTGTGCACCTTGCACGAGTGTCCGTGTGTTGCGTGTGCATGTGCGTGCGTGCGTCAGTGTGTGCGTTGCCATGGCTCAACCAGGCAACATGCAACGTGCCTCTAAGTTCTAACACGTCTGTCTCTGCGTTTGCGTCTGCAGCTTCGCCGGCCCCGGAGTTCTCGTCTGCTCCATCGACAACATGCCGACGCAGCTGCCGCGCGAGGCCACCGACTTCTTCGGCGAGCTTCTCTTCCCCTACGTCCCGGAGATGGTGAGTGGACGCGGGCTACCAGAGGGCACCATGCCCCACTGGCTAATTAGGCCGTCGGCAGTCTCTCGGTCGTCCTAGGTTTTTATGGGACAATAGATTGTATGGGATCATAATAGATTTGTATGGGATCGACGCATGTAGGGTTTAGTGTCAGTGCCGTTTCCCTTTTTGATGAAAATAGCCGTGAGTACCAGTGATGTGATGTGCTCGAATGCACGAAGCTACTCGTGAAATGTGATAGAAGTGCGGGTATCAAATGGCTCCAAAGGGTGAAAGTACGGCAGTGGGTTGCGTTAGTTATCGAGGCTTGTCAGTCGGATGATTCCGTGAAGGTTGGGGCAGAGATTGGTTGGAGGCAACTAGAGATGGGTTCGGAGACTGGCAGTCGACGCAGGTTAGGGAAAGGGTTAGCCTTTGGCGTGAGTGAGTGGACGCTCAGTTGGGGGAACCTGCGATTCTTTATGTTTCATCATTATCTTATCTTATCTTATTTTATTTTATTTTTTCTATCTTCCTCGTAGCTCAAGTCTGACGCCAGCACGGCGTTCTCTGAATACGATGTGGGTCCGATCGTCAAAAACGTAAGCATGGTCATCAACGCGTATTTTGAGCGAATTTCCAACAGTGCTGGTTGCTGCCGTCGATATATTATTCGATGGCGTGAGTTGTCTATAACAGTTGAAGTCCACTAAGTGCAAAAATTATGTATTAGTAAAGTATTTCAGTGCAATATGACTAATGTTGTCCTAATATGGTCTTAATGTACTCTTGAAAGTAAGCCATGCAAACAGCTGTGCTGCTGCCGTTATTCTACTCCAGAGTGAGAACGAGAACCTAGTTATTAGATCTTAATGGTTTAATTAGCTTGTGATTGGGATGTAATTAGTTAATTGTCATTAACGATGCTGACACCTTCGCTCCCACCTACAGGCGGTGATAACCTCCAATGGATCGCTCACATCTAACTTCGAATATCTCACAGAGCTCAGGAACAGCAGCAGGTAGGCAACGTTGACACCTTATCTACGATCTTGCGGCTGCACGCCGGCGGCGCCCCCTTATGGCGTAGGTCGGACGTGTGCTGGGGTCATGCACGGGGCACTACTTGGGAATAGATGTTTTGGAGGAAGGTGGAAAAAATCCTTCTTTATCTAGGCTTCGTGCGCGTACCCACTTTAAAAAAAAAGTGTAGTCGATGCCCCTTTTCACTTTCTGCTCGTTCGAATCGTTTTTTCGTGGGTGTCTGTTTGTAGAGGGTATCAGCTGTACAGCTATAGACTGGTTCTTTTTTGTCGTGGACCGTTAGCCACATGTTACAATTAAGGCATTCAGTTGGAGTGCATTTAATAATTTCGCACCAGACTATAATGACACACAGTAGTTTGAGTGACAGTCGATGTTCACGCATTTTTCTTCCAGTTCTTTCGCGTTCAAGTTGACCAGTAAGAACTCGAACCCAAATGGAAAAAAATTCCTATAAAATCAATGGTAATAACGGGTTCAGTTTCTTCGAACGTCATTTTCCGTAAGGGCCGTTCGTAGCGGGCGAGGGGTTGTACACATGGCAGTACTACGAATGTGAAGCTGTGTACGTACGTGGCATCACGAGTACGTGCACATAATATCATGCTCCCACTAACTGCATTCACGCTCCACTTTCCTCCGACCTTCTTCCTGTTTACGTTAGACTGGCGCGTACGCACGCGTGGCACGCACGACGCTGCATTCCTTCTAGTGTTCCAGCGTGTTATGTCGCAGAATGAATTTACTTGCCTCGCCGACTAAAAATATATACGCTAGTGGGAATTCTTCCAGTCCACGTATATTATATGCAACGTGTGTAACACTTTGTGAGAAGTTACTGGTACCTGCATGGTGGATTTCCCTATATACATATGTTGCATGTATACATACATATACATACATGCTATTTGTCAACAGCATAATATGCTTGTGACTACTGGTGTTTTCGTATATATGTATATATATTCAAACGTATATATATATATATATTATATATATATATATATATAAATATATCATATATATATAGGGTTAGGGTTAGGGTTAGTCCGAAATAGCTAAATGAACCAGGTCAAACAGAGGTCAGGGAGACATAGACCCTATACGGACGTAACATATAGTGATGACTGTACTGAAATCTGATCTATTTATTACGTTAGTCACGAGCTATTTGGGTATAGGGAGCGTTTCGTTGTTGGCCTCACGTTGGCGACTAAAATCGATAACTGTGTCAGTAGCCGCACACGAGAGACGGCGAGCGGGAAACAGCGCGGCTCTAGTCGATATATCAGGGGGCGGATTCAGACCGTATTTGCCGTATTGGAAAATACGGTCTAGATTTCAAAGTGCCCTTCGAAATTTTGCGCTCACTGTGGGGTGGTGTGCTCTTTTTTGGCGATGTGCCCTTTGAGAGGGGAGGGTGGGTTCAACCTCGGTCCATCCACGATGACCTGCAGTAGTTCTGTTCAGCAGTAGTTCTGTTTCCTCACCGCGATCGATCACGCAGATTGACCACCGTTGCTGCGCCCATCCACGATCAAACTGCAGTAGTTCCATTTTCTCGCCCCTCCAGATGTACACGAAGGCGGGAGCGGTGGTCAACGACCATCTGGACGAGTGCACGGTGATCATGGGCGTCAAGTCGGTGCCGATCGAGATGCTGCTGCCGGAGAAGACCTACTGCTTCTTCTCGCACACCATCAAGGGCCAGCCGGAGAACATGCCACTGCTCGACGCCATGCTAGCCAACGTGAGCAACGCTCGCTCGTCGCGTCGCCACGGCAACGGCCCGCCGAGTCGTTCGTCGCCGCGGAAACGGCCGCCCGGTTTACGTTCGCGCTGCGTTTTGCGCCGCCGCGTTTTCGCGGAAACCAACGGAATGCTAGTTGTTGGGTTTTATCCTCGCGAACGTTCGCTTGTTTTGTCGCCACGCTTGCACGTTGTCCTGCGCGCAGCGCTTGGATCGGTAAAATCGTCGATCGTGGGGAGGGAGGAGGGGGGGGGGTAAATGTTTGCTCGTGTCTCTGCCGACACCTGTGGCGGGTTTCGGTCCAGCCATGCTCTCATTTTTTATGTGTTTATGTGTGTGCGTAACCCCAAAACGTACTGCCGTAGAAAATAAGCGCATTTTTCTCTTGTCCTTTTTGCGTCAGGAAAACGCGTTTGTTGTGTTGCTTTAGGTCATGTTATCTAGGGCGGCCGCGCGTAACCTTAACTCGCTTCTCGTCGTAGGCTTGCTGATGAAGTTTGGGTAGCTCGTGTGTATACAGTGCATGTACGCTTATTATACAACACTGCTACACTCGGAGCAAGCGAAATGTCACGTCGTTTTTTTGCGAGAATTTATTTTGTGTGCAGTTTTGCGTGTCGTAGTTGGCAGCTGGTAATAAGTAAATAACACTTAAACAGCATATATAAATAGTAATATGTAATAGTCATCATGGGAAAGAAGGGTAGATATGTGCGGTAAACGTATATAGTGCAGCCTGGCAGCTACACACGGGGTTTAGTACAGTTGACCTAGCTGCCCATTCCTAAGTAATCGTACATTTGCTTGCCTCACTAACCATCCCACATCTCCCCCCGAGTAGCATCCCACACCCTTTACCCTCCCACTCGCGTGCGCCCCTTCACTGAATTTTAAATTCATGAATTTCTAACGGGTTTCCGTGCCGACGTTGTTGCTGAAATTCGACGCTGACGGCTGTCGAACCCTGTTCCCAGGGCGCGCGACGTCGGCATCACGATCGTCAACGAGGTGGGACTGGACCCTGGGATCGACCACTTGCTCGCGATGGAGTGCATCGAGTCGGTCAAGGAGCAGGGCAGTACGGTGAAGTCGTTCATCTCGTACTGCGGCGGTCTGCCTGCGCCAGAGAACTCCGAGAATCCGCTCCGATACAAGTTCAGGTAGACCCAGGCCGTTGGCCCGTCCGCTACCACGTAAAAAAAGAAGTTTCTTAACAGTTTTTTCCCCATCAGTGTCAATAGTTTAAATTTCATTTAATAATTATAATTATTAGACAATTAGTTAGTTTAAAAATGTACTTTGGACACTCGTGGTGGGCGAGATTGCCAATTTTTGGCTGAGCGATCCTCTCTCGCGCGCTCTGACGCATGGCTGTTCTTTTGTTTTGCATCGCAGCTGGAGTCCACTGGGCGTGTTCAGGAATGCTCACAGCGGAGCGAGATACCTGCTCAACGGAAAGGTAGGGCCCTCAGAACTGCGGATGCCTGTTCACTGTGAATGTTTCTTCACTGTGTTTGCCTTGTGTGTGTATGTATGTACTACGTATTCACTGTAGTATATCTCTATTTATTGCGTATTTAATTAAGTAAATTTTATTTTCCTAAACATGTGATTTTACTCTATATATTCATGTAATCTGTATCATGTATGCCTGTATAAGTAATAAGTATATGTATTCACTCCATGAATATATGTTCCACTCCATGATGATAAACCTTCACTACGGTGCATATCTTTTGACTGTGAGGTCCACCTGGCATGGTCCTACACCCATGGGTTCATTCATCCTTATCATCATCTAACTCCGCCACATCTGCCTTCGCGCGTTTCAGGTCGTCGACGTGCCAGTAGGGGGCGCTGTGCTGGACGCGCGGCAGAACATCGACTTCCTGCCCGGATTCAACCTGGAGGCGATTCCGAACCGCGACTCGACCAAGTACGCGTCGCCATACGGAATCGAGAGCGCGCACACGATCATCCGCGGCACCCTGCGCTACAGGGTGAGTACCTCGTGGCGCCCATCTAGCTCGCGGCGAGCAAGAGCGTGTCATATATGCATCTATAGATAGATAGACAGACACACAGACAGACAGACAAACAGACACTCAGACAGACAGACAGACAGACACATAGGCAGACAGACAGACAGACACATAGACAGACAAGACGGGACAGACAGACAGGGGACAGACAGACAACAGGGACACATAGACAGGACAGGCCGGGCAGGACAGACAGACCTATAGGACAGGACAGCCGGGCCGACAAGACAGCAGACCAGACAGACAGCATAGACGAACAGTGCTGGGCAGACAGACAGACAGAGAGATAGATCACAACATGTTTTGCATGCATGCATGTGTATCTCTCTCTCTCTGTCTCTCTCTCTCTCTCTCTCTCTCTCTCTCTCTCTCTCTCTCTCTCTCTCTATATATATAGAGATATCCATCCTCACGCATCGTGTTGTGTTGCAGGGCTACTGCGAAGCCCTCAAGGGTCTTCTCAAGGTCGGCCTCATCAACGACGTACCGCATCCGAACCTGCATCCGATGGGACCGGAGATCACGTGGGTGAGTGAGTGAGTGAGTGAGCTCTGTAGCAGCGTGGGTGAGTGAGACAGCTCTATAGCGTGGGTGAGTGAGACAGCTCTATAGCGTGGGTGAGTGAGTGAGCTCTATAGCGTGGTAGCATGAGTGAGTGAGTGAGCTCTATAGCATGGTAGCATTAGTGAGTGAGTGAGCTCTATAGCAGCGTGAGTGAGTGAGACAGCTCTATAGCATGGGTGAGTGACTCAGCTCTGTTTCAGCATGGGTGGGATCGATCAGCGGGTGGCTGGAGCGTTCATGTCGCGACCCCTGCCAGGTTTCCCACCTGCGAATCCTTCTACCACATTACACTACTGCTGACCTAGAGACCTCGAGGCTTTCACCCACCGTGCCCGGTCCGCGAAATTTTTTCCCCACTTCAGTTCCGGACCACAGCCAATCAGCGCACTCCATTCACTCGACTTCCTCGAAGCAACAATGTAAAATGAATACCACCTATCCCTAACCCTAACCCTAACCGTAACCCATACCCGAACCCTAACACTAACTATAATCCAACCATATATATACGAACCATATATTACAAAACACTATCTATGGTGGGTCCGGAACTCAAGTGGGAAAACAAATTTTGCGCCCGGTCCTGTGTTCTGCAACGGCTACGTCGAGTGTAGTGTGGTGACCCGAGATGAGGAAGAAGCGGGTGGCTTGGTAAAAACTGTAATCGTTTTAGTAGGATGGATTAGGATGCAGGGGAAAAGGGAAGCTTGGAGCGAAAGGGTCGAGGGTTCCGTCGTTCTCACACCATTCGTATCGTCAATTGCTCCGTCGTTCTCATGCCTCTCCCGTCATCAGTTGTTCCGTTGTTATAATGGCGTCGGCGTCGTCCATTGTTCGGTTGTTCTCACGCCGTCTGCCGCTGCGTCCACAGAAAGAGTTCATGTGCACGCTGCTTGACCAGCCACTGGACATGATGTTGGACATGCTCAAGGACGCCGTGTTCGACAACGTCAAGCAGGACAACATCCACTACCACACGATCGCCAAGTGAGCATTCACCGCCGCTCGCCACTGCCTCGATGGATTTTTTAATGATTGATGCTACAGAATTTACCACAGTTTTTGCAAAATTGCAATGAAGTTAATATACGCTTCCATGTCTCGATTCGCGTGACGTGTAATTTAACATCTCACAGTGTCTCACAGTGTGCCATAGTGTCTTACAGTGTCTCACAGTGTCTCACAGTGTCTTACACTACGTTGCAGTAACTCACGGTGTCTCACAGTGTCTCACAATGTCTCACAGTGTCTCACAGTGTCTTACACTGTGTTGCAGTAACTCACGGTGTCTCACAATGTCTTACACTGCGTGGCAGTGACTCACGGTGTCTCACGGTGTCTCACGGTGTCTTACACTGCGTGGCAGTGACTCACGGTGTCTCACGCTGTCTTACACTGAGTGGCAGTGACTCACGGTGTTTCACGCTGTCTTACACTGCGTAGCAGTGTCTCACGGTGTCTTACACTGCGTGGCAGTGACTCACGGTGTCTCACGGTGTCTTACACTGCGTGGCAGTGACTCACGGTGTCTCACGGTGTCTTACACTGTCCTAACCCTAACCCTAACCCTAACCCTAATCCTAACCCTAACCCTAACCCTAACCCTAACCCTAACCTAATACAGAAAACAAAAAAATAATTAAAAAGCAAACGGGATTCGAACCACCGACCTTTCAGACATAAAGCTGGTGTGCTATCCATTACGCCAGAAAGACTTCATGAGAAATAGCACATGACATCTGCTAAATAAGCCAGCACATGTGTTTTTGAACCAATCAGGAGACAGGATGAACCAATCACAACCAATCAGATTCTTCGACTGGATATGTTGGTTAGGAAAAAAAAATTCGCGGCCGGGATCTGTACAGCCTCCTGGATGTATGTGTATATATATATACATCATTCACTGCTGCTGGGTAGGGAGATATTTTTACCGATCGATTCGGATAGTTATAGTTTTCCGTTGAGGTGGGGACAGCTATAGGAGAGAGGGACTATAGTCTGAGAGTAGAAGATTTTCATTGGATTTGTCCTGCCTATATAGTTACAGAGACGGCTCATTGTAGCCACTGGTGCCTCACGTAAACGTGAATGAATACGAGACTGACAACAGCTTCGCTCTTATAGTGAGTTATACTCTTCTTGAAACTTGAGCCTCCAAGGGCCTGTGGTCATACACATCCCAGATGTTTCCCGTTCATTATATTTCGTCCGAACAATAGAAATATATTTTGTCAAATTATACATGTAACATATATACAGATGCGATGGTTAGAACATATACAGGACAAGCCACTCAAGAGAAATTCCAATGTTAATTGGCCCCAATGGGAAGGTGACCGTTCTATAGAAGTGGCCGCTCGCGTTGACAGTAGCATGCAAGTGTAGTCGAAGTATATAACGCGCAATATATATAGCTTGTCGGCTTGTCGCAGTTGAATATAGCTCTTTGTGGTTATCAAATAAAATCTGGTGTGGAAAGTGGCGCACTCTATCCCCCTTTCATGTTCCCTTCTACCTGTTCCTAGAGAGGAAATCGGCTTTTGCTTTCGCGCGCGCCAATCCCCTGGCATTCTGCCAACTACCATTTCGCGCTACGCGCCAAAAACCTGGCGCGCTGCCAGAGGCATGTACGCAGCGCTCGGTGAAGCAGACGTGAGGGTGTGTGTCGAATGCGGGAGCCTAATTGGTCGGTGGAAACGGGGCGTGATGGGGGCTGTGTGAGCCGTGGTACTATTCGGAAATAGAAATGCTAGTTTTCGGCGGTTCCCGCATCACTTATCGCCAGCTGTTTTCAATACGTGAGCAGCAAAACCAAAAACAAGTTTGCTTTCCTCGCAGAACACCTTGCAATATTATCATCCAAGGGCAACAAATCTATAGGCGCTGCATGTGCGTGTGTGGCCCTAGTAGTACCTCCGCCAAGGCAGCTCAATTCTCTCACTGAAAATTTTTATTAATTAATTAATTAATTAAATAATTAATTGGATCCGGATCACGACCAAAATGTAATCAATTCTAAGTTACCCGATTTCTGACCTATCCTCCTGAAAATTTATTGATTAATTAATTAATTATTGGATCACGGATTCACCACCAATAATCTAATGAATTGTTACGTTAGCCATTTCTGACTATCCTGAAATTTTAATGACAATCGTCCATAATCTGTTTTAGTGTAGCCTGTACACAAACAAACCAACTGCACAAACCCACAAACCAACAAACACACGCCGGGTTGAAAACATTAACCTCCTGCCAACCCTTTTAATATTTTTAATATGCCCCTTGTATTTTTTACTTGCTGGGATAATATTTAGAATGACACCTTCTCCGGATCCGACTACGTGCCTGCAAACACCTTCGGTAAGGTTGACCTTTGACTACGTTGACCCTCGTTGTTTGGTGCAGGTCTCGGCACAAGGCGCGGTCGTCAGTGACGACCGTGAAGCGAGTTCTCGTGCTGGGCGCGGTGATACGGTCATGTCCGCCCCGCTCGTCAATACTGTCGCGCACGCCAGATTATCATCTCACCGTAGGTAGACCCGTGTATTAGACGCCATCACTTCTGGTTTTCTTCACGTGCATCGTCTCCGCTCGGTCTCTCTCGGCTCACTCTCTTTCTCTCTCTCATTCTCTCTTTCTCTCTGTCTCTCTCCCTCTCTCTATCTCTCGTCTGTCCTCTCTCTCGCTCACTCTCCTTTCTCTCTCTTCTCTCTCTTCTCTCTCCTCTCTCTCTCTCTCTCCTTCTCTCTACTCTCTCTTCTCTCTCTCTCTGATCTCTCTCTATTCTCTCCTCGTCTCTCTCTCTCTCGTATTCTCTCGCTCTCTTTCTTTGCTCTCGTCTCTTTCTTGTCCTCGCCTCGTCCCTCCATCCATTCGCTCCCGTCAGGTTCCTCTCTGATACCCTTTCTTCCCCTACCTTTCCCTTTGTCTCTGTACCCCCTCCCTCCCTCGTCTCCTCCTATGCTCTCTCTCCCTCTGCCTTTGTCCCCTCTCTCCCTCTCCATCTTCACCCTCTTCCTCTCTCCCTCTCTGGTCTTTCTTTATCCTTTCTCCTCTCTCTATTTGTCTCTTTCTCGCCTCTTCTCTTCTGTGTACATAGCACTGACCCGTGCCAGAGTACGCGGTGTCATTGCCAGCGTCGTGTCTTGAGCACTGAAGGTCCAGCAGATGAGCGTCGAAGGCTTGCCGGGCTGTGACCTTCGGTGCGTCGTCGACGATCTGCGCCAACGACGCATGAGCTCTCAGTTCCTCGGTTGCAGGACAGCCACCGATCTCGTCCATCAGCGATAAGCTTCATGGTTCCGCACAGCCCTTGAAAAAATGTCCATTGAATTTTGAGGGGAGATCCTGCAAACAGTACCGTTGCATTTAGTAAAAGTTTGATTGGCTGTGATGCTTGAAAAAGTGCTTGAATTCAGGGAAAGATGTTCTTGAATGTTTAGAAAGAATCGTTGCCTGATAATAAAAAGAAATTTGTACCATCAATAATGCTGCAAACATCAATAAAAATTCTCGTTAAATAGAGTTAAAAAGGGCTATAGACCGATAGACAGTATAATGGATGATCCACAAGAATTACAGTAAGTCAGTAAAATCAGTCTCAGAAAATCAAGGTATCGGTTGTGAGCGACAGTTTAGAAGGGTTTCAGTATGTGATTCAGGTAAGTTTTAGGGCTGACATGCACGTGATTAAGATATGGGGTTATTAATTTAATCACTACGTATGTTTTGTTCTGTGTCGTGATTCTGATT